AGGGGAAGGAAGTAGGCGGGGAGAAACACCATAAAGAGGAGGGGAAGTGAAGAAGGGAGGAAGGAAGATGGAAGAGGATAAGAAGGAGATGGGCGAAAGGGAGGGACAAGGAAGAGATCAGGGTAGATGGAAGGAGAATGAAGATAGGAGAAAGAGGGATAAAGGGAGGGTCAGAGGATGGAATGGAGAGAATGAAGGGAGAGAGGGAGACTGGAAGAAAGGGAGGGGAGGAGGAGGGAAGGAGGATAGGAGGATGTAGGAATAGAGGAGAGAGAAGGAGAAATGGAAAAAAAAGGAGAGGGATTTAGATTACAGAATCAAACGTTTATTGGTTATAATCTTCAGATACACTGGACTGGCTGAGGATTCAAACGTTTATTTGGCCTTACAGTAAATACATATTGGATATAATCTTCAGATACACTGGACTGGCTGAGGCTTCGAGAGTCGAGGAAACGATCTTGAAAGAGGCTCTTGGTGTAGGTTCATGGAGAGGACAGCCTGGTCATTCATGGAAGTGAAAGGATTGTACACTTTGGTTTGGAATAAGACGAGAAAATACCACTTAGTTGTACCGCTGTCATTCTTTCTTTCTTTGGGGTGGGTCTAAAGTTGTGGGGTGAATTCATGTATTTTGTTAGTATTGATATACATATGTATGTATACATGGGATAGAGATATACATGGATAGATTATCAGACAGGCAAATCGATAGATAGATACAGAGACCGTATACACAAAGACCACGCCTTCCCTTCGCCCAGCCTCTGCAGCCTCCCTCGAAATAACCGCCATCTGTTGGGTAATTTGAAAAGTTTTCCCGCCCGTTTCAAAGCCACTGAAACACGCCAGACAAATAACGGACCCCAAGGCCCCCGAGTCGAGCTTCCACCTCGTCCATCTTCGGCGGAGAAGAGGAATGCGCACGGAAGCGGCAGGAATTCTCACGCCCGCGGAATGCCGCTCATCAATTATTCTTCTGCGGGTCATTTCAGCTCGGGCCATAAATGGAGCTTTTAGAACGCGGCCGAGGTATGGGAATGGAGGACAGACTCCGGAGGCCCTTAAGAGAAATGGAGTAAGGGAAGGCGCGGATACATCATAAAAAAGAGGATTTAACACCGAAATAGTTGTCTTTCTTTTAGTGTCCATCTCGGAAACAATAGAGTAAACATCGACAAGGAGTTTATAATCCACTTCTTGCTCAGTTTGCTGTCCCTGGGACCTTGAAGAGAAGGAAGCGGTGTATAAGAGTCTCCAAAACCGATTTTATTTTCTCCTTTCTCCCTTGCCTATCCTCGCCCCCCCCCCAAAAAAAACATATATGTTTCGTTTCTTGTCTTTAGGATTCTGAAGTGTGCCAAACGGTAAATAAGCATATTCAAGACATTAATAAAAAAAGGAGTAAAAGGAAAATGTTTTCCCTTCCTCTCCAGCCTATCGCTCGGACGGCCCAAATCAAAAAATAACACCAGCTTTGTCAAGGGGATTAATAATTGACCACGCTTCACTTCCTGTCTCTGGGAAGCAAACGGTAAATAAACACAAAATACACCATGAAAAAAAGGAAATCAAAATATTTTTATCCTCTCCCCCAGACTACACCCCTCCCCTCCCCCCCCAAAAAAAAATAACACCATCTTTGGACCCTCTATGCTTTGTTGACTGTCGTCTCTTCGACCCGGAATTAATTCAACACGGGTACGAGGAGAGGTGGGTGAAAGGTTAAAGTTTGTTGGTCGTTAATTCCGGGTTGTGGTCCGGGCCTGGAACAATGAAAGGGCTAAAGACATGTCGAAGCGAGGCAAGTTCTTAATGTACTTTTTGGGGTATTTGTGGCAGTGTATTGTCGCGTCTAAAGATTATTTTCAAAGCAACGCGACATTTACAGAGAGTGAGAGTGACGAGAGAGAGAAAGAAAAGTAAAGATACAGAGAGAGAGACAGGGGTAGCGAGAGAGAGAAAAAAAAAATAGAGAGAGAGGGGGAGGGGGTAGAGGAAAATGAGAAATATATAAAAAAATAAGACAGAGGAAATAGAGAATAGAGAGAGAGAGACACAGAAAGGAGACAAAAAAAGAAAGCAATATATGCACACACATACAGAGAGAGAGGGGGGGAGGGCTAGAGAAGTGAAGAAAGAAGCAATGAAAAAGAGACCGAACCAAAGAAAGAGATGGATAAAGAAAGAGAAAGAAGCAAAGATACCAAGAAATAAAGAAACGCATAAAAAAGAAAGGGGGAAGAGAGCAAGGCAAACGAACATAGACAACATACTGCAACACAGACCAACGGATATGAAGACCAGCGCACAGGGTGAGAAGCTGACGACGCCCGCTGGTAAACATCGGGCTTATAGGAATGGGCGAGCTATCCTCTGCGCAGAATGGGTGATCAAGGAGAAGTGCGAAGGATCAGAGAGGAGAGAGAGGGCGATAAAGAGGAGAAGGGGCAACAAAATGGAAAATTTAAAGAGGAGGATAACGGGATAAAGACCAAAAGCTTAGGGAATGGAGGAAGAAGATGGAGAAGAAAGATACTATCGTGCACAATATTGCCGAAGATTTTTTTTATTTTGTTAATGGGAAGAACGTTCGTTTTGATATGATAATGTAATGTAGTTTTATCGAAGGCAAGTGAGTCCTCATTTCGTTTCATTAATGTAAACGTTGCAAAGAGGAACAAGGAAATTGGTAGCGTATGAAACATAAATACTGAATGATATGGATAGCTATATAGATATACAGCGAGAGAGATAAAGGTAGAGAGACAGGGAGAGAGAGAGAGAGAGAGACAGCAAGAGAGATAAGGAAAGAAAGAGAGAGAGAGAGAGAGAGAGAGCGAGAGAGAGAGAGAGAGACAGCGAGAGATAAGGAAAGAAAGAGAGAGAGAGAGAGAGAAAGAAAGAAAGATAGAGAAAGAGAGAGAAGTAAGAAAGAGAAAGAGAGAGACATCATCATTCCCCTCATCCTCAGCCAATGAATACCAAGAACAGCACTCTAAAAGCGCGCACTTAAGTCTGCAACCATATCCTGTCTATCAAAGCGAAGGGCAAAGAGCATTGCCGTAACCTTCGATTGCAACCGCTCTTCCAGATAATGGCACGCTTGCAATAAGTAAAATGGCATTGCAATATTAGCCACTTCTCTGAATGATGCCTGCATGATTAGGATACACACACAGACGCACTCATCCAGAGAAAGAGAGAGAGAGAGAGAGAGAGAGAGAGAAGAGAGAGAGAGAGAGAGAGAGAGAGAGAGAGAGAGAGAGAGAGAGAGAGAGAGAGAGAGAGAGAGAAAGAGGAAGAGAGAAAGAGAAAAAGAGAGAGAGATCGCGAGCGATAGAGGAGAGAAACAAAGTAAGAGAGAGACAGAGACTGAGAGAGAAAAAAAAGCAGGAATTACATTACTATAGAAAAAAAATACATATAAAAAAGGGAGCTCAGCAAACGAAAGAAGACAGGGATCGAGAATAGCCCTAAAGATGATAAAAGAAAAGAAAAGAGAAACAACAATAAAGCCCAAGCACCGGGGAAGGAGAGGAGAAGAGAGCCGAGAGAGGAGAGCTCAGACAGTCCCAATTACTCCGGTGGCGGGTTGCGCAGGAAGACAAATCGTTCATTACGGTAAAGGGTCACCTTATGCCCCCCCTCATTAAGGGTGATTGTTGTTCGCTCGTTAGCGTGTACGAAGACTTGTTTACGTTCGGTGACGTTTTTTTGTTTTGTTTTGTTTTGCTTTTTTAATGTCCAGTTTTTGTTTGTTTGTTTGTGTTATTGTTTTTTTCTCTTTTTTTGCTAGTGTTTGCGTTATTTTTTGTGTTATTGTTTATGTTTTTTGTTGTTTGCGTTCTTGTCATTGTTTACGCTTTTGTTGCTTACGTTTGTTGTCATTGTTTACGTTTTTGTCTTTTTTCATACGACGGTTTTCTTGTTCATCAGTCTTTTTATACATTTTTTTTCATTTTTAATAGATACACATGCTACCCCCCCCCTTCTTTATTCTTTTCTTTCCCTGTCTTTGCTGCCTCTTTCATTTTTTTTTCGTTTTCCTCTCCTTCCCTCTCTCCCCTCTCCCATCTTTCTCTTACTCCACCTCCCTTATCCCCCTTCTTCCTTCTCCTTCTCCCCCTCCTTCCTTTTCCTTTTTAAAGCGATTCCTTTTAACTTTCCTCCTCTCTCCTCCCCTTCCACTATCCTTCTCCTCTCCTATCCCTCCTTCCCTCTCTCCCTCCTTCCATCCCTATCCTCACTTTCCCCCTCTCTCCCTTCCCTCTCCCCCTCCCATGCCCTTCCCTTCCCCCTCTCCTCCTTCCCCCTTCCCCCTTTCCCTCCTTCCCCCTCCCTTCCCTCCCCTCTACCTCTCCCCATTCCTCCCCTCCTTTTTTTTACCGCCCCCCCCCGCTACAACGATTCCTCCCCTCCCCCCTCCCCCCCCCGTCTCTTCGGCTCTCCCAACTCTCCCAAAAGTATTGGAGTCTCGGTGTCTGTGGCTTGTGGGAAGACAGTGCTGGACAGATGATGTCGTCGCAGATAATATCGACTTTAAAGATAAGAAAAAAAGGGGGGTTGAAAAGGCGACGCTTGGTGTTTGCATTGTTTTTTTTTATTTTTTTTTAGGCTGTTGTTGTTGTTGTTTTTTTTTTTTTTTTGAGAAGTTGGCTGAGGAATGTGTGTGTGTGTGTTGTGTGTGTGTGTGTGTGTGTGTGTGTGTGTGTGTGTATTATGTATGTGCGTGTGTATGTATGTTATATGTATATATTTGTATATACAGTATATTATATATATATATATATTTGATTTCATATATGTGTATATATATATATATATATATATATATATATATATATATATATATATATATATATATATATATATATATATATATATATATATATATATATATATATATATATATGTTGTTTGTGTGTATATACATACATATATACATATATATACACATATATACATATACATATTTCGATACAAAACTATCATAGCCCTTAGGGATCTAGGCCACTACTTACACAAATGTCTCTTATGATGATATCATTTTCTGTCAAAAGATCAAATCACATTTTTGAAATGAACAAAATTCCCCTTTTTATTTTTTAATGATACAAATTTGAGAGCAATACAAGTGGCTCTGAATGTTATTGGATAGATTATTCATAGAGCAATTTCCGAGAGGCCGGACTACAGCTAGAAAGAGGTGAAGGGACATGATGTAGGGGGAAAGGTGGGTAAGAAATGACGTTATGAATGGAGTATGGGAATGAAGGAGAGAACAAGAACAAAGGCAAGAGGAAGAGGAAGACAGAGAGATAAGAAGACAGACAGACGCATATACATGAACGCACACACACACACACACAGCGAGATGTACAGACAAGCATACAATAGAGCTGTCCATCTAATTGATAAGCAGTCAGCATATTCAAAATGCTCAATCAGGTTGACAAATATATATACAAATGATAACAAAGTGGTCCTTAAAGACACAACGAACCAAAACGAAGAGTGAGACTTCCGCAGACAAAGCGTAAACAAAAACAAAGATACAATTCAACTGAACAAAATTTCACATCTGAACAAATGGGAAAAAAGACGTTCAATTATTTTGACGAAGTATAATGAATGTTTTGTTTCATGAGCTGGAAAAGAAAAAAAGAAATGAAGTGATAGAGTGCTATCTTGTCAATTAATCTCAAAGTAGACGGGCGGAATAGAAGTTGCTGGAAATACAAAAAGGAGAAAAAGAAAGGGAAGGTAATCGAAGGGAGATGGGCAGATAGATGGAAAGAGAGAGCGAGAGAGAGAGAGAAAAAAAAAAGTTAAAGAGTAAGTTAGGAGAGATAGAGAAAAGTTAGAGAGTAAGTTAAACAAAGATAGATAGCCCTCGACATAGACATAGGCACAAAGAAAGATACATACCTCTAGATAACAGAAGAGAGAGAGAGAGAGAGAGAGAGAGAGAGAGAGAGAGAGAGAGAGAGAGAGAGAGAGAGAGAGAGAGAGAGAGCCCAGACAGGCCTTTGTCTAATAACCGGCCAACAAGGAGCAAGGCCGATTATTCTGTCGCGCTGAAGCTTCCTCTTGAAGTCTTCCATTTTTAAGGTCTCACCTCAGGGTAAATATTGAGCCGCCAACGCTGTTCCACCGAGCACTCCCGCTTCTGTGCGACGCCGGGAGTGGAGCAGTAATATCTCGGTGCGAATCGGCGGAGCGAAGAGGTCGGTCTGAGGAGGAGAATGGGATTTGTTCCTGGTGGCAGCACTCTCTCTCTCTCTCTCTCGCAATAGGTAGACATGAATATGGATGCATATATATGTATGTTTCTATCTATCTGTCTCTCTATNGAGGAGATGGAGAGATGGGTAGAGAGAGATGGTAGAGGAGAGGAGGAGATGGAGGAGATGGAGAGAGGAGGAGGAGAGGAGGAAGATGAGAGGAGAGTAGAGGAGGAGGAGGAGGAGATGGAGGAGATGGTAGAGGAGGAGGAGGAGATGGAGGAGATGGTAGAGGAGGGAGGAGATGGAGGAGATGGTAGAGGAGGAGGAGGAGATGGAGGGATGGTAGAGGAGGAGGAGGAGATGGAGATGGTAGAGGGGAGGAGGAGATGGAGGAGATGGTAGAGGAGGAGGAGGAGGAGATGGAGGAGATGGTAGAGGAGGAGGAGGAGAGGAGATGGAGGAGATGTAGAGGAGGAGGAGGAGATGGAGGAGATGGTAGAGGAGGAGGAGAGATGGAGGAGATGGTTAGAGGAGGAGGAGGAGAGATGGAGGAGATGGTAAGGAGGAGGAGGAGATGGAGGAGATGGTAGAGGAGGAGGAGGAGATGGAGGAGATGGTAGAGGAGGAGGAGGAGGATGGAGGAGATGGTAGAGAGGAGGAGGAGGAGATGGAGGAGATGGTAGAGGAGGAGGAGGAGATGGAGGAGATGTAGAGGAGAGGAGGAGATGAGGAGATAGGTAGAGGAGGAGGAGGAGGATGGAGGAGATGGTAGAGAGGAGGAGGTGATGGAGGAGATGGTAGAGGAGGAGGAGGAGATGGAGGAGATGGTAGAGGAGGAGGAGGAGATGGAGGAGATGGTAGAGGAGGAGGAGGGAGAGGAGACATAGGAGGAAGATGGTAGAGGAGGAGGAGGAGATGGAGGAGATGTAGAGGAGGCGGAGGAGATGAGGAGATGGTAGAGGAGGAGGAGGAATGGAGGAGATGTAAGAGGAGGAGGAGGAGATGGAGGAGATGGTAGAGGAGGAGGAGGAGATGGAGGAGATGGTAGAGGAGGAGGAGGAGATGGAGAGATGTAGAGGAGGAGGAGGAGGAGATGGAGGAGATGGTAGAGGAGGAGGAGGAGGAGATGGAGGAGATGGTAGAGGAGGAGAGAGGAGATGGAGGAGATGGTAGGAGGAGGAGGAGGAGATGGAGGAGATGGTAGAGGAGGAGGAGGAGATGGAGGAGATGGTAGAGGAGGAGGAGGAGATGGAGGAGATGAGTAGAGGAG